TGAGGGGTCCCTGGGGAGCAGGGGTGCGTTTTGTGCTGCGGACACGGAGAGGGCACTTGCAGGGTGAGCGGAGAAGCTGGTTCTGGAGCTGTCCAGCCTGATGTGGCCCGGCACAATGCCCTGAGTATGTCACCCTGGGCACTGGGCTGATCATCCTGTAGCCATCCTGCCCGGGGCTGTGGTGCCCCTCTGGCCTGGGGGGTCACTCCTGCTCTGTTTCTCTCCTGCGGTGGCCCCACAGCCCCTCTGCCAGGCGTCAGTGGGGACGACGCGATCGACCTCTGGCAACCCTGCTGGGCCAGGATGAGCCCCAGGTGCACCCTGCCTTCCCCCAGCAGCCGCACGTCCCTGTAGATGAGCCCCGCGCCTACGCTCTTGCCAGCACGCCGCCACGAATGCTTCACCCAGCCGCTCACCCACCCCACCAGAACCCATTCATGGTGGATCTGCATGACCAGGTAGGTGCTGCAGCCCCCAGCCCCACTCCTGGTGTGATCCTGTGGTGTTCCTTGGGCTGTTGTCTGGAGTGGTGACGTGTCCTTGGGTCCCCTCTGGCCACTTGCTGCTGGGATCACCCAGCCCTAAGCCTGCTGGTGCTCTGGTTCTCTGAGATTTAAATCTTGGGGTCCCTCTGCCTTCTGGGGATGTCCAGGGTGGTCCCTGCTCCCAGGGGCTGGGCACAGTCCCCTTGTAGGGTTGTTCATGTGACAACTGTCATCATAATCCATGGTAATGGTGGTTACACAGCCTGTCTGTGTGGAGGAAAGAAGGGCTCAAAACTCCCTCAAGTTGAGCCCTCACTCAGCCCGTTCCTCTGGCCACACCAGCGGGATGGCCATGCCAGGTGTTTTGTCCCAGTGCTGAGTGCCCAGTGTCCTGCTGTGACCCTGTCAGGACAGGGACAGCTCAGACAGGGCTGTGCCCTGACTGTGCCCTCGGCACCTTGTCCTTAGGTGCACCAGGGACCTGTCCCTCTCTCCTACACGGTTACCACCGTAACGACGCAAGGCTTCCCCATCCACGCTGGCCAGCACATCCCTGGGTGCAGCACCCAGCAGCTCCCAGCATGCTCAGTGATGTTCAGCGGACAGCACTACCCGCTCTGCTGCCTCCCACCCCCGGTGAGTCACGGCGGGGGACGCCTGGGGACAGCCTGGGCCGTGAGTGCCCAGAGTCCTGTGGGCACCCAGGCCCACTGTAGTGCAAGTTTCTGGGGGCACAGGGTCCTTTGGAGGCCCTGGGGAGGGGGCAGGGGTGTCTGACCCTTGTTTTTCTCTCTGTCTCTCCCCACAGCTGATTCAGGCATGTGCCATGCAACAACTTCCCGTCTCCTACCAGACATTCCCCCCCATCATCTCCAGCGACCATTACATCCTGCACCCACCCCCACCGCCAGTGCCCCCCCACCAGCCGCCCCACATGGCCCCCCTGGGGCAGTTCGTACCTCTCCAAGCCCAGCATCCACGTATGGTGAGTTGGGGTGGAGGGACAGCCTGGGGGCGTGATGCACCCACCGCCTTGGGGTCTTGTCCTTCTGCAACCCCTGCGGGTCTGAGCTGGGGGTGGTGGGCAGGGTGCCTCTGTCTTCATAGCATCGGGGAGGTGTAATTTGGGATGCTCCTCCCAGCTTAACTGTTTCCCCACAGCCTCTGCAGAGGATAGACAATGACGTGGACCTGCGAGGGGAGCAGCACCCCATCGCAGGCTTCACGTACCCTCCGTCTCACCACGCTCCCACGCTGTCGCCCTCCATGCCGCTGCATTACCTCCCCCACGACCCGCTGCACCAAGAACTGCCATTTGGCGTGGTGAGTCCCCATCCTGGGGAGGGGTTGGGATCGCTGTGGGGCTGGCACGACTCTGAGTGCCCCATCTCTCCCTCAGCCATACCCCCACATGATGCCCCGGCGGCTGAACACCCAGCGGTACCGGCTGCAGCAGGCGCTGCCCCCACCGCCACCCCCTCCGCCGCCTCCTCCGTACTATCCGAGCTTCCTGCCCTATTTCCTGTGAGTACTGCTGGGGGTATTCTAGCACGTGTAGGGCAGGGGTGCCACTGTGATGGCACAGGGGGCTGTGCCAGGCTGCCTGTTGGGGTTTGCAGCCCCCTGCTGACTGCCCTGTCCTTCCCCCCAGTTCTATGCTTCCTGTGTCGCCAACGGCCGTGGGCCCCACGATCAGCTTAGACCTGGACGTGGATGATGTGGAGATGGAGAATTATGAGGTGAGTCTGCTTGGCTTCCTCACAGTGATGGGATGGGAGAGCTGGGGGAGTTGGAGTTTGCTGATTGCTGTGCTGGGAGGGGGAAGCCTGGAGGGAGGCTGTGCCAGGACAGGAGGTGAGCTGAGCCGGCCTCTGCATCCCCCTCCAGGCACTGCTGAACTTGGCCGAGCGGCTGGGGGAGGCCAAGCCACGGGGACTCACCAAAGCAGACATCGAGCACCTCCCGTCCTACCGCTTCAACCCCGAGAGCCACCAGTCTGAGCAGACCCTGTGAGTGAGCTCGGGGCGCACACGGGGGGCCTGGCAGGGACTGGGGGCCGTGGCTGGCAGCGGGGCTGTGCTGATGGCTGCTTCCCCCAGGTGCGTCGTGTGCTTCAGCGACTTCGAGGCCCGGCAGCTTCTCCGCGTCCTGCCCTGCAACCACGAGTTCCACGCCAAGTGTGTCGACAAATGGTTAAAGGTACTGCCTGTGCCTGCTCTGGGGAGCGGGGTGGCTTCTAGGGTGCTGTGGGTATGGGG